AAATGTCACCCATCACTATGACAGGAATATAAAAGCTATTGCAGACTAGCCCAGAGTCAAGATCAAAGCTGTTAATGCAAGCACTTTGGAAGTGATTTTTTAAAGTCACTTAAACCATCAAAAACACTGAGTGTAGAACACCTTTACCACTGAGCTCAAAGTGAAATTGGGAATATTTTATTCAATGTAAGGTCTCTAAATAAATAAATATCCATATGATCTCAGGACCACAGGTCATGCTTGAGCAAAAACATAAGATAACCCAAATGGTCATTATAATAATAGAACTTTGATCAGATACTATAAAGACCATCCCCTGCTGCCCAATCCAATGATGACATAAAAGGTAATAATCAAATATTCTAAAAATCATTCTAAATTTTAATGCAAAAAATCCAAGATAATCATGTATTTTTAACCTATAAAAACTAATGTTATATGTTTAATTCATTGGATGCTTTTTCCATTCTAGTGAAGAATAGGAACCTCAATATTGTTTTGTTTTTAAAATTTTGTTTAGTTTCTTTTATTCTTTCCTCTATTTGACTATATTCATTTATTTCATTTAAGCATCTTGACATTTTTTGTATTATAATATTCTTATAAAATTTGGCATATTATTCTTCTTCTGAGTGTATTTGTATTTCATTTTACAACATCAATATATGGACAAAATATACAGTATTCTTATAAGCTTACTGAATAATTGTTACGGTTACATCAATCTTTGGAGGGAAATGTGTGTACCATTATTCTCTTCATCCTCAGCTATACCAAACTAGTTTCATCTCTGTTTTAGTACAGAAAACCCTAGACCAAAATTTAGATTCTAAATTTCATTCCAGCTCTGGTTGTCTTTGAGACATCTGTGGTTAAAAGAAAAAAAACCCTCTAACATCTATGGGAATTTAAATGTATTCATTTATGAATGTGTAGCAATTTATCTTTTGTTTAGTATAGGAAATATTTGAAGCAAGGTGAAAAATACATCTTATATGTCAGTATGATGGGTGGGTGCCCTAATCAACCTTTTATATGACTACCTGTCTTCTTCATAATAATATACCTGGGACAAAGGAAAAGAGAAGGAAAGGAAAAGAGATTTAGGGAAAAATATAAGTAAGTGTAAGCCTGAAATGAACAAAATCTTCTTACAAACCTTCTGTCAGCCAAGAACTACTGTTATCATATTTGGGATAAGGTCATTTTATATCGACAACGCACTATCCCAAGCTCATTTGTATTAATAAGTGAGTTCTCAGCTAATTCAGATAAGCATGCTGATTCTGTCATTATGCTATAAATAAAAGATGACTGCATGTAAGAGACCATATCATATAAAACCATATCAGGACAATAAGTAACACTATACATCTCTTTCTTAATATTGGTTAAAACTATTAGATCATTTTAAATTATTCTCACATATTTCTAACAAAATAAGGGTGAGAGGATTCTTTAAAGAGAATCACCAATACTTTTTTCCTTAAAAAATAGTTGTAAAAACATAAATTCTAGTAATTGATATTAGTTCTTAATTTGTCATAGTACAGCAGACATGCAATAAGTTTCAAATTGAGTATGATAATAGGGGAAAATCTGCTCAATATTCATTTCCTTTGTGTTTCTATGTTTCTCTTCAATGAAATATATATTTTAAATAATTTTAGAAAAATACGTTTAAAATATATAGCATTAATAAGAATATAAAATAAGTAGCAAATATTTTCAAAATTTTATTCATGGCCAATGGATATGTACTATGAAATATATGAGTGATTATAAATTTTTAATAAAAATTGCATATCCAGTCATGTTTTTGGATTTAAGCATCTAATACAATTCTTACTGGAATAGAGGTGCTTAGAAACATTAATATAATAAATTAATGAGTAAGTAAGGGCCAAATTTTGAATATTTTGTCAGCACTACAAAATTAGTGCTTATTAGAGATATAATAAATATTTGAGTGAATAAGTGATGGATGAAATAATAAAAGTGAAAACAAAACAATTTGAAGGCAGAGCTTGGTAGTTAGAAAGACATAGATTAATTGTAACAATAAGAATAAGAATAATGTCAGATAATGTTCAAAACTAAAACTAGCAATTAAGAATTGTAGCAACTTTAAAATTATTTGTCAGATTTGGTTTTGAAATAAATTGTTCTCATTCCTAAGTAGGTGTTACAAAATTTCCTAAAATTCAATATTGCATAATCCAATAATGTATAAAAATGAATTTTATCATTGGGGTTGTAGTTATTTTATACATTTTTTATGATTATTAAAGAAAATAAGGCACATATTTAAGTATTTTAAAACATAATTTATCTTTCTTTTCTTTGTTACTGTCATAGAGATAAAAAACTCTGTATACATCACGATAAAGAAAATGTGGTATTTATTTTGACATAAGCATCCGGGCATGGTGGCACCCTCCTGCAATCGCACCACTCAAGAGACAGAGGCAGGAGCTGGAGCCCAGCCTGGGCTACACAGTGAGTTCAAGATCAGCTTGCACTGCATAGCGAGACTTGGTCTCAAAAAAAAGAAAATTGTAAGACATAAACAATGATGTCAGTAATTTTGTTGTAGAACTCTATGTGACACAAAACGCAACTTTTATGAGTTTGTAAAGCTAAAATTCTACATTTATTTTAAATTCTAAGAAATATTATGATTGCACTCTAAGGGCATTAATTTCCACAGTCATTTTATGTACATTTTGTGTACATTTGCATCTTATAAATTTCTTTCACAATAACAAGAATTTAAAACCATGTCCAAGTAGACTTTAAACAGATTCATTTACATTTGGAGGTTTAGTTTAGGGTTTAAATTGAATGTATTCAAAGACTTTTCCTTTAATCTGAATTTCTATTTTTTTAATCTGAATATCTAATTTTTTTTCAAATTTGGAAGTATTTTAAACTTTAATACTTTATATAAATAATTGAACCAAGTATTCTGATAGACTATATAGAGTAGGTAATATATTTTTTCCTATACTAGGTATTACCTTAACAAGACTATCCATCATTTTTAATCTAGCATATATTTTCTAACATTATTATTTCATAGGCTATTTGTTAATTTGACAATCAGTAAAGATTTTACATTTTTAAATAATTGTGAGAATTTGTTTTTACTTTGTTAAAAGCAATTCATTTAATAACGATGGACAAATTATAACAGTAGCACTCTAAAATTTAAAGGTACTATAAAATGATGTGCCTATGAATTTATGTTTTCAAATTAAATGACATGAAGTTAATTGAGAATTGTCTCAGGACCCTTTCTTCTAGGATATATAAATAAAAATCAATATAGATATGCTTCCTGAGAATTTGGGTAAATTTAATTAAGAAGAATATGCAAACAAGCACACATTAGGAAAGGTTTCTTCGATAATTTGGAGAATTAATTTTTCTGTTTGGTTTATATGGTAGCTGAAGAATTCTGTAAACCATTAAAATGCTGAAGCTGAAAATCGTGAGGTCATTTTGTTGAATATATATAAAGTAGGTGGTTTGTGTCATTCACTATAAAAAGATGTAATTGGCCCAATGATAATCAAAACTGAGAAGACTGTTCTATTTTTGAAAGATATGAAAAAACTGAGCTAAAAATTTATGAACTTCACACTCTAAATTCTCATTTTTATATGAAGAACCCAAAACTTTAAATAAACCTTTAACAGGCACTACCATAGAGCTTAAAAGTGCAACATGATTACAAGGTTCCTATACATATTTTCACATGAATACAGAATTATCTGAAGTACTTCAAACAATATTGAACTTGGTAGTAATGATGCATTTATGTCATAATTGTATATAAATAGATCAAAATATAAAAATGTAAAAAATATTAGGCTACATCTAGTTGATTTTATTTTCTTTTTAACTGAATGAAATAAAATTAATTTTTACATCTAGGAAAAATATTTAACTTCATAAGAAAGAGAATAAGTTCAAGGAGAGACAAATGTCCTCACTGATTAATTTATCAAAAGAGTCTCTATATGTCTTTTAAAAAGGTATATTTGAATTTGATTATAGAGCACCAAAACATAGATATACACATTATAAGACTTTTTATGAACATGAAAAATTATATGTGTAATAATTTATATCTGACTCTGAAATTTTTTTGATATTTAATGGATATAAAATTTTGACCAACATACTGAATTTGTGGCTTTCAATATGCTTAGATCTACAAAAGAGATTGGAGGCCTGGGGACTGATTCTAATTTTAAGGCAAAAGAAAAAGGCCATATTGAAAGGATCTAGGAATTGAAAATTTTATACTGAGGTATGCATAAGTAAAAATGATTATAAATTTCCACCTCCAAAAGCAATAAAGTAGAAAATTCAACATAAACTGAGAAGTATTATAGATCAAAAGGCCATTATAAAAATATAAAACTATTTTTCAAGTAGGCATTGGTTTTCTGATCCTATGACTTGAAACATATACATGCCAATGACAATAAGTAATTTTGTAATATTTAATCTGTCAAAAGTAAAAAATTTTATGAAGAAACCATAGTAATATTTTTAAAAGGAGGATGCTTATGTTGAACTAGTCTTAGTTCCTTAAAAAAAGAGTCCTTTTAAATATGGCTACTTTGTGTTTTTCTTATTTCTGAATTATTAATTCAACTTAGCAAAACATGCTTTTTTGGATTTAAAAGAACTCTTCCAAATGAAGAAAATACTCTTTACCATACTAATTTGCACTGCCTTTAGATTCTGATTAATAGTAAACTTTAACCACATTTATAGCTTATTGACAAAACCAGCATGCTTTCTACCTATAAGAGGCAGCAGATTTCATTTATAAGTGGATATGTGGATAAGATTCTTAAAAGCTTATTAATCTTCAGCACCCCATGGAAAATAAAGACCAGAAGTAAAATTGTGACTTTTGACAATTATTAGTTAGAAAAAGGAGGTAACAATTGCCAAAAAAATCACAAAAGTGAGCATGTTACCTGGCTATGACAAAGAGCACACAACTGACACCCAAGTAAGCCAGCAGAATATACATCCAGATATCAGGGGAGAGAGGATTCAGGAAGGAGAAGACGCCTGGGTTTGTACCATTGGGCTTGCGGTACAAAATACTTATTCCAAGTGTCATAAAAGGCTTGGAAAAATCGATGACCTTCTCTCGAACATAGGTAATAGCCAGTGGAGCAACTGCAAGGTCAGCTTTCTGTAGAGACACAAAAAAGAAAACAAAGAAAAATTGCTGCTAAGTCACAAGAATAAAGGAAATAACTAAACAAAGTATTTATACCCGAGAATTGTATCAAAATTTAAAATATTCTTCCACTCTGAATATAGCATCTGATTTACTCCATTTATTTCTCTTTGCTTAAGCATTAACAAATCAGTATTTATTTTAACTAGATAACAGGGAAAAATACTCCAGAACAAGAAAAAACTGAAGAACTCGTGGCTTATACTCAATATATAAATTACTATGTAACAGCTTTTCATAGTTACTTTAAAAGCTTTAAAAATTATTTTAATATAAATTGAAATTTTTCTAAATATATTGGTTAAATTCTAGTTGCAATAGTAACTACATCAGACTACCAGGGAATGAAGAAACATTTTTCTGATTTTAGAAACCTAAAAGCCTGTGGTTAAAAAGTTTTAGTTTTTAAATAGTTAAAACATTCTTAAAATCATTTTCATGTGATTGTTTACTGAGTTTTGTTCCTATCCCTCTGATTTGCTTTACATTATTTAATGAAATTCCTTGCGGCTTTGCCTAAATCGCATTAGGAAATGAGTTTTTCAATTTTCACAAAGTTGCTAATTTTTCACGGTAGCTTAAATATGTTAAATTACTAATGCTTTTCAGTCACCACGTTATAACCATTTGTCAGGAATGAATTTATGCTCTAATATATTGCAAGAGGTAATTATATTTTAAAATAACAAAGGCATCTTTGAAGAGAGGCTATATTGCTACATTTCTTTTATTTTTGATAAACATAAAGCTTTCAGAATAAATAAGAAATTCTAATTTTAAAGAGCAACTGAAAAAAGTATAAAAGAATAAATTAACTATCTCATGTTTCCTCTTAATGTCTTAGGGAAGAAACTTTTCTAAGATGCTGAATTTGTTGGCAATATTACCCTGTATGCATGTGCATTTGTGTGTTGGTGGTTTGTAGAAAGCACTAAGATAGAAAGACTATACAGAGTAGTTATAGGGCTGCGGACGTAGCTCAGCAGTGCAGCGCCTTCCTGGCAAGCACGAGGCCCTGCGTTCAATTCCCAGTTTAAAAAAAAAAAAAGAGTTGTTATAGATAAAGCCGTATTTCTGAAAACTAAAAACAAAATATGATTTTAGAGTCCTGAGAAGAGTATATCATTACATTTCATATTCGTGAGTCAAGGAAAATATCAAGAATAATAATTGGTAACATTTCTTAATCATTTACTGTGAAACAGGTACTGTGTTGAGAACATCACATGAACTAACATATTTAATCTTCACACAGACTTACTACTATTCCCTTTTTCAGGAAAGGAAACTGAAGTCTTGAGAAGTTCGAAAATGTGTTTACTCTCATAGAGCTAACTGAGCATTGGACCCAGAGTATAAACAGAAACTGTCAGAATCTCTGACTTAGAATTTAAATATGCCATGAGTTTTAGAAACTAGTGAAGGAATCATGGAAAATTACTCATTTATTCCTTCATTCAGTTACTCAGGAAAGAGTTTTTACACAGAGAAATGGAAATATACAGAAGTGAGGCTAGTAAGTGATAAGATTGTAATCCCTGAGAATTTAGAAGGTCAATACAAAAAAGTCAGGGCAGTGTTTTCCGTGTAAGAATACAGACAAGATAAAGTGATTTGGTCTTGTTTTGGAGGTTTGATGAAACAGCACTGTTCAACTATGTGCCATTTCACTCTCTTCTCTCCTGTTGGGCACAAGAAATGGAAAATGTCATCATTGATAAAGCCCAGAAATGCAGATGCTTTAAAATAGTAAGGTTTTCTAACTGACAAAAGTATATGTTTTTGGTGTACAACATCATCATATACATATATTCATTTGACGTACAGATATATTCATTATGGAATGATGAAATCTAGTTAACTTATGTGTTATCTCACATAGTAATCATTTTTGTAGTAGGAATACTTAATTTTCTCTTAATTAACACTCTATGTGGAATCTAAAAAATTGATATCAAAGAAGTAGAGTCTAGAACACTAGTTACCAGGATCTGTTGGTGGTTTGTGGAGTAGGGGTGGAAGACTGGGCAACAGGAAGATGTATATCAAAGAATGAAAAGTTTTTGTTATATGGGAGGAAAAATTTCAGGAAATATAGTGTCCAATATGGTGACACTTGTTAATAACACTATAGTGATTTTTAATGATAAAAATTTTAATTTATTACATGTATCAACAAATTTATAAAATAATTAAAATATTGAACAAAACCTCTAAATTGTTCCAAAAAGTTGTTCTATTGAGGATATATTATCATTACATATTATATATTATATTACACTACATATGTAAGGTTTCAAGTTTACTTAGTATTGTCCAAAATAAAAGTCACATTACAAGTATAAAATGAAAAAGACAAAAATTATGTAGTAAAATATTTTAAATTATAAGTCACTTAAAACAAAATATCCAAGTAGACCACTTGATACACTGAATACGAAATAAACTGATAAACAGAATTTGTTATATCCATACAATAGAATAGTATTCAATTATAAAAAACAAATGAGCTATCAAGCCATGAAAAAGCAAGAGCCTTAAATTCACATTGCTCAGTGAAAGACACCAATCTGAAAGGGCTACATATTGTAAGCTTAACTCTATGACATTCTGGAAAAGGTAAAATCAGAGAGGCAGTAGAAATAACTGGTGGCTGTCTAGGGTTCATGGGGAGACAGCGGGTATGATGGAAATGTAGGACCATAAAACATGTTTAGGACATTGAAAATATTCTGCAGGATTTTGTAATGGTGGATGCATGGCATTGGAAAGTCATATAACCATGCAACACAAACATGAAAACATAATGTAAATGATGAACTTTAATAATAAATGTATCAATAATGTTCATCAATGGTAACAAACATTCTAACTTCATAGAAGATGTTAATGACAGAAGAAATACAAGGGGTATGGAGAGGAGGAGCAATATAGGAACTCTACGTTCTATATAATTTTTCTATATGCCTCAAATTTTCCTAGAAATTAGAGGTTATTAATTTTACAAGTATAATTTTATAACAATTTTTATGTAGTGTGATTTAATGTATGTTGATCAACTTGTTAGAATGTAGTTGTTATAATTAATAGTTAAACACACAAAATTGACCAAACACCAATTATTAAAAATAGTTTTTAATTACACATGAACTATATTTTTAAAATTCACTTAAATGAATCTCAGGAAGCTTTGAACAGTAAAAGTGAACCTTTATACTCAGTAGCATTTTCTATGAATAAAATCCAGCTTCATTACAAGTCTATTAATAATATAATTTTGAAAACTAATCAAAATGTTGTTAGATTGAAGGTGTTCATAATGACAGTTGTGGTATTTTCCTATTAAATATTATGTTATTAAAGACTGAGCAGTTTGAGGAAAAAAGTCTAATGGTAGAATTTAATAATCTAAGAACATATTATCTCTAAATAAATGTTAATATTACTTAATGAAAGTAGACTTAGCAATTGATTTCTTATTTTAAAGAAAAATAGTCTTGCAGTAGACAAAACCAGTGAACAAGAAGCCTTTACCAAACAATAATACTGGTGTTTGCAACTTAAAGAATGAGCCTGAATTGACCAAACCCTGAAGTGGGAGCACAGCAGCAGCAAGTTAGGAATATCGTAGGAAAAGCCAGTGTTAAATGTCTTTTATGAGGTAACAATGTGCTGCATTCTTTGTTCTTATCACTTTCATTAATCCTCACCAGAGCTCTACTGAATTTGTAATGTGGCTGCCTTTTACAAACAAAAAAATCAGAATAGTTAACATGAAACATGATTTTAAGAGAATATGGCCCCCAAAATGACTCTGTCACACTCATTTCCCATTATATCTGTATACTCATTAAATACAACTTGACCATTTTTCTGCTATATCATTCTCTATTTCCCTGCCCCAAATGATCCTCTCATTCTTCCACTTTTCAAATTCTATAGATGTCTGTGATATTTTTCCTCCATTATCTCCTTCTCTGAATATTCTATCCACAGTAATTTCTCTTCAGAGAAATAGATATAAACTCAACAATAAAATAAAACATGTAATAACATTTGTTATGTCATTTCTAATTATTTTTCATGTAAGTCAGCCAATATGATATGAGCAATTTAAATGTACATGTTACTGTAATTGTATTTCCCCTGTTCATATGAGTGTAGAAACACTGCCATCTTCATACATTTCCTTATATCAAAGCACAGAATTCTGAACTGAAGGAACAGTAAAGCATCCCTCCATAGAAAGTTCCCAAAGTTACATAGGCATAAGCTATTTCATTAAATTAATGAGTATAAGTTTAATACCCTAATCTTCATTGTACAAGCCTGCCAAATCACCTTATTCATCTTTGTGATCATAATTAACCTAACATTTCTAAGGCACTGGAAAAATCTGCTACCTAGGCACTACCTAGTAAATATTTGCTGAATACAATTTCAATTCAATCTATGAAAATTTTCAAGGAAAACTCAAAGAGAAATGTAAAATTAAATTTATTTTCTGGTCATATTCAATAAGTAAGATTTATTTCTATAATAATATAATGGCAAGTTAACTAACACCCGGACAAAACAGAATAGTTCTCTTTAGGGTTATTTTGCTCAGAGCAATACATTGATTAAAGTCTCATAGAACAATAGCAAAAATTATACAAAAAAACTATACAAAAATTAGATGACAGAGCATCTACTCATGAATGGCATATAAAAGATACAAGGCCTCCGGCTATTTCGTCACCATCAGTTCCATCACTCCTCCAGTCTTAGTCTTCTTCCAACCACTTTGGCTGCCCTGCCAATCTTTAGATATATTCACAAACCCCTTCTCCATTCCTTCACAATGGAGGAAAGCTTCAGCCTCACATGTTCACATGCCTTATTCTTTTGCTTAATTCAAATGTCCTGTTTTGATTTTGCTTAAAGAGACCTGCATGGCCACTCATTCTACC